TTTAGTGTATTTGGTATAGGATCTCACTATGCAGCTAAGACTTGTAGTGATCCTCCTGTTTTCAGCCTCCCCAGTGCTGGGGTTACAGGTGTGCGCCACCACACTTGGACTTGATCATTGGTTCAACACTCCAGGGGTAGGGCTAATGCAGTATGTAGTGCTGGGGATCAAACCCTGGTCCCTGCACTTGCCTAAGCAGGCACTTAGTCCACTGAGCTATCTTACTGGCCCTGAACCCATTATGTTTCTAATAGGTGAGACATGAACCAAGTCCCAGGGGGTGATATGTATCATTTATCTGTGTGGTGATTTCATTTAGAACAACAACCTGAAGGTTGCTACTATATATTCAAGAAGAAAAAACAAAATTGTTTGCGATTTGGCTTCACAAGCTTTTAATAAATCTTGCCTGTGTTTTCTTTTCCAGTCATAAGGCCTATATCTAGGTAGCTAAAGGAAATGTCATGCACTGAGATTCCATATCTTGTGTCTGCAAACATAGGCACACCAGGGATTTTAGATAGTGTCCCTCTTTGCAGCCTCCCCCGAAAGACACAGATTGCCAGTGCTGGGTCAGCTACCTTGTATCACAAGGAAATTTTCTTTACTAATTAGTCTAACTTCCTTACTTTTCCAAAACAGGTGATGTGGGAAATGACGCAGGAAACGAGAAACCAGCAAAACGTTGTCCCTGCAGCCCCAGCCCGGAAGCTGACTTTGCATGACTGAGATCATAAGTCAAGTCTCTCCTGCATTTTTGATCAGGATTTTAACCCTTCCAGGCCTCCAGTCTCCTCCAGATGCCTGGTGTGTGAATCAACTGAGAAGAGGTGGGGAAAAAAGGTGGGATTCTGTTGTGACTCCGCCTGTGATGCCCGGGCAAGGGGTCTGAGCTTGGCACAAAAAGGCAGCCACGAGAGAGCCAAAGGAATCTTTTTACTGAGGAAGAATAAGTAACAGCTGAAACAAAAATAGGAAAGAGAAAAACTTTCATCCCTTCATTTGGGCAAATTTACCTCGAGCATCACTGGCAGGGTAATCAGTGCTCTGACAGGGAGAAGCGAGCAGAGGAACGGTGCTGTGCATCGCAGCCGTTTTGTGGGCCAGGAGCATTGATGGTATGGGTGCCGGTGCAACACAAGCAGCAGACAAGATCAGCTGAGATGGTTCTGAGGTGTGACCACCAGCACCCAGAAGGCCCCCGCTGTGAGCTTTTTACTTACCTCGATGACAACATGAGGGAAAGCCGAGGGTCCTGTGCTGGAAGATGCGCTCAAGAGGTGCAGTATTAGAAGTCAAAACAAACTTCATGCGATTTTATTTATGTATTGGTCACCTGCCTGTAGCTGGGAGAAAACATCCGACAGGCAATGTTGAAACCCGGTGGGTTTTATGGCTCTTGCTCCAGAGAATTCACCGCATTCTTCTTAATGCCAAGACAGAGGGAATGATGGGAAAGAGGGCAGGAACCACAGCTCTCCTGTCATGGCTGAGAAGCAGAGAGAAGGAGAGAGAAGGGAGGAACCCAGGACACGAATTCAGCCTTCCAGGTCACAGCCCCAGTGACTCACTTCTTCTGACCAGGCCCCCACCTCTGAACACGAGATCTGGGGAGATAGTTTAGATATAAAGCATAACATTTTATGATCCCTGAATAGTGAAATTTCAGGAATGTGAGTACATATATAATTTTTTTTATTGGTTCCCAATTCGGTGTCAGCTTGAAGTACTAAAATAAAGTATAAACCGCATACATCCCTTTCTGCCCTTTGCACCTTTTATTCTTTTGGGGTTTGTTCCAGTAAGGACCTGGGGGCGAGCCTTGCAAAGATGGAGATTACGCATCAGGGATATGGTATGTGCCTTTTTTAGCACACCCAGGCGGAAGCAGAAGATCCGTATGCCTGCTGGTCTTATCATTTATCCCAAACACTCTTGTTTTTCTTTTCGGAGCACCAGGTCCAGCAATAAACTACTCAGGCAAAGTGAACTGGCCCTTCCCCTAACCATATCCTTGTCTGATGGAATGCATTCGCCGCTGTGCTGGGGCCTTTCTGACAGATGGCTCCTGAAACACAAGAGCGACAAGTCTTCTTATATTTTCCTATTCTTAGTAGGGGACACTTCAACACACCTGGACTGCAACCAGGGCAGCACATAAAATAAAATCAGTGAAACAGTGACATTTCCTTAGCTCACCCATTGTCAATGTGGGAGTGTGTGTTTGTGCATACATGGGTCCAGGGGTAGGTATAGAGAGTGTACAGAAGCCTTGGACTCGAAGTTATGGAAAAAATCTTGGTTCTCTTCTTTAGTTGGATAAGTTAGCTTTTTGCTGCTATGACCAAATACCTGAGAAAAACAGCTTAAAGGAGGAAAGATTTATTGTGGGCTATACGTTTAGCCGTTTCTGCCCATGGTCTGCTGGTTCCCTTGCTGTAGGACTGAGGCGAGACAAAAACATCATTGTAGCAGGACAGGGTGGAGAAACACTGCCTAATTCAAGCCACTCAGGAAGGAGAGAGAGAGAGAGAGAGAGAGAGAGAGAGAGAGAGAGAGAGAGAGAGGAGAGAGAGACAGAGACAGTGACAGAGAGACCGAGAGAGAGACAGAGACAGTGACAGAGAGACAGAGAGAGAGAGAGAGAGAGAGAGAGAGAGAGAGAGAGAGAGCACGCACAAGAGCTGGAGAAAAAGGAGTCACAGATTAGATGTAGTCCCTAAAGTCCCCCACTCTGATCCAATCTCCTTTAACTAGGCCTCCCTTCCTGTTTCCCTCACCTCCCATTAATCCCTTTGGGCTAGGGATTTGAAAGTGTATTAATGTACTGATATATTTAAAATGCTTACAATCCAATTATTTCCTCAAAGTCTATCAGAAATGACACTTCAACACAATGAGCATTTGGGAGCCCATAAAATATCTGAACCACAACAGTGGTTGTCATGCTAGTCAGTCTGGGTTATTTACATTAGCTCACATTCAATAAAACATTCTACCATCAGGAGTTGAGACTAAAACCCTTGATGTACAGGCAAATTGCAGACAAGCCAGAACACTGCCTTATGTCACAGCATGTGTAAGGTATTTATAATAAAACTATTATCTTGCAGGAATTCAAATTGTGCACACTGATGATCCAATGCACGCAACATCCCTTCTAACACAGAAGACAAGAGACAGTTTTACCATACTTCAAATTTTAATTATTTTTTTAAACTTGGATTTTATGCAGTATTAATTGCTCAATAACACATGTTGATATAAATTTAAATTTAAGCTAAGTTCAGCAGACACAGTCTTTCAACCCAGAGACTGACTGATGGCCTCAGGCTGGACCAGCTGCTTTTGAGCGCAGTTTCATACTCCCCTCATGTCTCACCCATCAAACATTTACCTAGAAAATCCCAACCATCCTAATCAGAGTGTCAGCTTTGTGGTGGCTTGGAAGATTTTTTTTTAAAGTTGAAAGAAGTGTGTGTATCACCGAATGAGCACTATTTCTAATGGGGAAAGCCCCACCCTATAGTCAGTGTGGTTTCCCAAGACCTTCTATGAGGCCCTTAGTGACCAAGGTATTCTCTAATTCAGCTATTTTCTCATCATCTCAAACCTAGGTTCATCAAAACAATTTCTGATTTTACTTTTTTTTTTTTTTGTGGAACCGGGGATTGAACTCAGGCCCTTGTGCTTGCCAGGGAAGCACTTATTCCACTGAGCCATCTCCTCATCAAAACAACTTCTGGAGAAAGCTAGACTCCCCTTTACAAAGAAATTTTACCAACAGTAGGCTTCAACCACAACAATTTTCCCATGGGATCTCTATTTACAAAGTAAGTTAGCATTCTGTATTCTCTTTTGCCTATCTCTACTGATGAAACATTTATTTTTGTATACAAGTTCTGAAGAAGTATATGTTTTAGTTTCTAGCATAGTGTACAGTATCCTTTTTTTCTTTTTTATATGTGGTATTACAGTTTTAGAGAGGGCAGAGTGAAGACAAATTCTCCCCAGTGCTTTCTGAAAATTGTGTCCTGTGGCTGCTGAACTTCTTTGGTTCTCCTAGATATGCCTCTTCAAGATTTGACATGTTCTCTGCTCTTTTTTCAAACCATGTTGCAACTTCAGTTAATGGGACAATTGAACACATTTTCTGTGTGAGACACTCTAGATTGAAGATTGGCTGGGGAGGAGGAGTAAGGATAAAACAGTTTTGTCTGTGTTAGAGACAGAAAAAGGAGAGACAGGGAGAGAGGCAAAGAGCAAGTGAGAGAGAGGCAGTGAGAGAGGGAAACAGAGAGGGAGAGGGAGACAGAGAGGTGCAGAGAGAGAGAAGCAGAGAGAGAGAAAGAAGGAAACAGATGGAGAGGAGCAGAGAGCAAAAGAGAGGCAGAGGAAGAGGGAGAGGGAGAGAGAGAGAGAGAGAGAGAGAGAGAGAGAGAGAGAGAGAGAGAGAGAGGCAGGCAGGTAGGCAGTATATTGATGCCTTTGATCTCTCAGGATTATCATGAACACAGCACCTTACTTCCATGCAAAGGCACCTGTACAGAACCTAGAATGACTCCACAGATGGAAAGATACTACAGAGGTGAAGCATCAGTTAAGCCCAGGTGCTGCAGGGCCAGTGCCTTAGTCCGCGCTTAGGCCAGATCAGTTGTTCATGTATTTTAGACACCAACTTGGGGGAAGGACTTCCGCCCCTTCAGGCAGGAGCTCTGTGGGCACTGTGTTCCTATTCCTCATTCTTTGCTAATCTAGAGGCGCTGAAGCGATGAAGTTTCGAGTCCAAATCTCTTTTCAAGTCTTTGTCTCTTTGTTGTGTTTCTCCACTCAGCTCTTGAAGAAATGCTAGGAGAGTCAAAGCTTCAGAATCTGCTTCATTTTTAGAAAGTCGTTTTTTGGCAATTCTTTGCAGTTTGGATTTCATCTTTGCCAAACTCTCGTTTGATTCCACGTTGATTTTTACTCCCTCTATAAAATGCTGGATGGCCTTGTCTTCACATTTCATTTGATACAGCTGAAAATTGCCATACTGCAGGTGGAGCACTTGTTTAGCTACAGGACTGAGCTCCTGGCTGAATTCCTTTTGGAAGTAACTCTCTGCTTTCTCATGGTCACCTGCGTGGGCATAGATACCAGCAATAGTGGAAAAGATGCTGGGGAAATTCACATTGTTCTTCTTGGCTTCCTCTAAATGCTTCACAGCCAGCTCTACTTGTTCTAGTAACTTCTCTCTTTTCCCATATATTTCATTATCTCCCATGTTCTTTAATTGGAGGAACTGTGACTTATAGCAGGACCCAATCTGGTAATGCAAGTAGTGGTTATGTGGCAGGATTTTTAAAGCCTTTCTAAGCTGATTTATGGCTTTGTCCCAGGCATGTTTATTCCGATAAAACCACGCTGCACTGTGCAGTACATCTGTTGCATCTGGGGCTTTGTTTAAGGCTTCTTCAACTAGCCTCTCTCCTTCATCCTCTTGCTCCTCCTTTTGAAATTTCAGAGCCAAGAGAATTTTAATATACTGGTTGTTAGGATTTAGTCTGATGGCTTTCCTCAGAGGGTCAGTGGGGTCCTGTGACACTGGCCAGCGGTCCAGGCGGGAGCTTGCAATGGCCCAGCCGGAGGTGAACTCTGGGTCTTTCGGTTTCTTCTCCAAAGCCTTCTCAAAACACACCTTTGCCCTTTCATTTTGCTTTGTTGTACACTTTAGCCGCGCCCACCCTTCTTCACCGTGGAGCTCAGGGCTCTCAAGCCTATAGGGACTAGAAAACTCCTCACAGACCTGTTTCACCTTGTCCAGGTAAGCCTGAGCATCTTCGACCTGGCCCATGTGGTAGTAGATCCAGGCATAGTTCCCCCACGTGACCAGACTTCGGAGCTTGGCTTGGCCAGCGTGCTCTCGCTGGATGACCTCCTCAGCCTGCTTCAAGCAGTCCAGGGCCGCCTTGTTTTGGCCTCTGAGGTGCTTTATGTAGGCCGATATGTTAAGCATAGTGGCTTTGAATTCACTGTTCTGAAACTGGTCCTTGTGCAACACTGCATCCTCAAACTCATCCAGGGACTTGTCCCCTATCAAGTTCCAGGTGAAATGACATTTTAATTGCTGTAGGTGTCTCTCCAGGGAATCTTTAGTGGCCTCACTGTAGGGAAAAAAAGAGCAAGATGGGCACTCCAACACACACATTCATCTGTCAAGAAGCAAGGTCACAGAAAATAAAATTATTTCCTAAGTCTGAGAGAAATATGTTCTCCTAGAATATGGGAACCAGGGGTAGCAGAAGAATTACGAAGAGGGAAGAGGCCCAGTGTGAGCCTCAGGGGCAGTTTCTATAAAGAGGATGGGTTGTGGGTAGCCCTGGCTCTGGAGAAGGTCTCTGCAGGGCTTGATTGTCTGTGGGACATCATTTCAGCAGAGATTTGCTGTAATTCATGCAATTTTTAGAACAACTGTAAGTCTATTTAATCGCTTTTTGTTTCTTTCCTTGTTTACTTTTATATTTTTAAAACCTTAACTTTATAGTTCTCTAATCTTTTGAGGCTTTGCTGTGCCTATTTTAATTTCTCTGTTATTGCTCTGAACTTCAGCACTATTATATCTTCTGTATTCTTTGTTGACTTTTGTCTGTTTTTCTCTTAGGTTTTGTGATTTTGAAACAGAGTCTCACTATGTAGTTCAGGCTGGTTCTGACTCATTGTGCTGTCAAAGATAGACTTAAACTCAGGATCCTCGTGTCCCAGTCTCTCAAGAGATGGGATCGCAGTGTGTATTACCAGACTTGGTATCTTCTATAGTTTTAACTCTTTTGTTTTCTTTGATGTATCCTTAAAATTTTTAATTATTTCCTCCAATTATTTTGACTTTTGATACATCCTTAATAGGTTTTATTGTCTAGCAAATGTTTGAGCTTTTATTGAACTGGTTTTGCCTTATCTTTTTTTTTTTTAACATAATACATTTTCATTTTTGCCATTGAATTTTTCTATTTCAATCTAAATCTTGTAAATCGTGTTTCCAATCATTCTTAAATTTTACTCGTTCCCATTGCTTTTGTAGTATATGTTTAACTTTACTACTATATATTAGCAATGTTTTGAATTTCTAATTTGAAATAAAATATAATCATTTTCTCCTTTCTAATTCTTAAAACTGGTAATCTATATGTTTAATGCATGCTGTTGAGTTGATTTATTAATAATTTTGCATTTCTATCTAATTTTATCAGTAATTTGATCTCCTTTTCTAATAGGAGATGTGAACTATGGCGGGAGGGGAGGCTGATGGGTAATGAGCTCCTTTTATTATGGAGCAGTTCTGTTTTCTGTAGAGTGGTCATAGAATTGTCCTTAAAGATTTTCCATTTTTGTAAAGATTGCCTTTACTCTTTTGTTACTTATATTTCATTATTTATTTTGGCAGAACCAGGGATTGAACTCAGGCCCTTTCCCTTGTCTAATAATCATGTGCTAGGTTGGTGGGCGGGAGGAGTCCAGCCTAGGAATCGGTCTCTTGCAAAGTTCTGCAGATGATTCTTATGCATCCTTGAGTTTGACAATGACTAAGAGCACTTACTAAGGTAAGTGAAAATAGAGACTGATTGAATTTGTACTATTAAAAAGAGTCTAGCCTAAGAGTATGTTAAAAGATTCTAAAGTTTCTAAAGATTCTAGATGACTACAAAAACACATAAATCTACAAACATCTCAAACCTTTCCTCCTCTATCAGGTAGCAATAGACATGAGCAGAAAGGTATGATTTCAATGAGAAGATCAAGAGCCTTCTTGGAGGAAAGTAATGCCAACTAACCAGCAGGGCAAGCATCAGCAGAGTCCAAAATGCTCAGGACCGAGCCTTAGGCAAGCAGGTCCAATTACCTTACCCTCAAACTGGAGAAAAAATGAAGTTCTCTTATTTCCCAATAGGCAAACACTTCCTGTCCAAGGTAATCTTAGTCTCTGGTGGACGAGTGGATCTTAGAAGTAAGCACTCTTTTCTCCATGAATACCTCAGATAAATGTACTGTGGCCCATTAGTTAATAATTGCTTTATCTGTACTGGGAATTGAACCCAGGGCCCTCACACTGAGGTACATCCTCAGCCTTTACTTATTTTTCCATTTGAGACGAGGTCTCACTACAAGTTGCTAAATTGCCTAGGCTGAAGTAAAATTTGCTATCTTCCTGTGTAAGCTAACATAACTAGAGTACTGAGAGTACAGGCGTGCCCACCACACCCAGCTCCAATCAGTTCAGAGGTAAAAATATTTCCATTCAGTTACTCGCCCTAATGCGAATCTGAGATGAGCAAGCTCCATATTAGAGAAAGTTCACTTTAGCCGGAAATAGGGGAATAGGGGTGCTATTCTGTGTGTGTATACATATTACATATATTTTATATTACATTTATTTTTTCCACTACAAAATGGGCCTTCATTTACATCTCCCTCTTTTTTCAGTTTTGTTACAGATAGGTGTTCCATTGCCATTCAAATTATGTAGGTGGGTGAATTTAGCAAAATAATACAATATAGTCCAGTAATCCATAATAGTAGAGGGTTACCCACAGAGCTGGTAATGTCAGGAGTTGTTGACTTGAGCCTTTTACAGCTCAGCATATTAATATGCCTTTACATTTTATAACTCGTGTTTATACTTTTCTGCTGGATGGTTAAGACCAAGAAAAAGCAAGACCTATATAACAAAAATGTTGTTTTTATATCTGACAAGGTCCATTTTATATTCTTTAAAAGTTTTCTATTCCCCCAACTATTATGCTTATATAAAGGTAAATACTGTTTTTCTTGATTATTTTTAAAATGTTATTACTACATATTTATTATTACTACATACACAATGATCACATTCACCATTGGGAGTTTATGATATGTCTTAAGTATTTGTCTCCATGTTCTTCCATCCCTTCAATCCTTCTTCCCTTCCCTATTTACAAATTTTGTTTCCGTGTTTCCCTTTTTTTCGCTGCAGAAATAAATACCTGGAGAAAAGTGTTGAAGTAAATTTAAGGAATTGCTTTGAAAACTAATGAATATAATGAAAATACAGAAGAATTCACTTTTTCTGATGAAAATGAATTCAAGTTACAGAATGAAAAATTTGGATTAGGAAAAGGTTTGCAGGAATGAAAGGATTATTAAGTCCAGGAATCTAAATTTATGTTCTCCCTTTAGTTTCTCTACCTACAGCTAATCTCAATCCAAAGTTTCCCAATATATAAGAGTTAGAATCATCCCAAATCTTGTCCTGCAATCTACTTGGTCAGTAATCTCACGTGGCTGTCCATTCTCTGGGAATTAGCATTCTTTCTCTTTTGGACACCAGTACATGCCCCAGACCAAGTGAGGCAGGTTGAGCTTCACTTTGTGCTCTTCAGGCAGGAAAAGCTCACACTCATGCACACTTATCTGGGCCAGCTATCAGGACGCTGGCAGGTTACTTGATTTGCTGCCCAAGAGCATACCAACAAATGGCCAAGACAAAATTTGAATAACAGGTACAGGCAATATATATTTTGGCTGCATGATAAATACTAAAAATCAACATACAATAGAAGTTGTCAAAATCCACCAACATAGAAGAAACAATTTGAAAGAATAAGCTATCACAAAGCATAAGAACAGGCAGGAGAGGGCAGTTTCAACAGGTGTTTAGCCCTGTTTAGCAGTGTTCCCCCAGGCCTAAAGAAGTGAAATTCTTATTTTTATTTTATTTTAGCAGAACCAGGGATTGAACTCAGGCCCTTGCACTTGCTAGCCAAGTGTTTATTCTATTGAGCCATCTCCCCAGCCCCAGAAGTGAAATTCTTAAAACTTGCTTCTTTACATTTATGGCAAGCAAAGAGTAAGAAGTGTTTCTCACACATCACTCTCTCCTAACTCTTTCCTTTTTACATTCTTCATATCCTTCATATGCGCACTCAAGGTGAAATATTATGAATGGCATTCTGTTTCCTCCTTATAAAATTTTGAGATGATAGTCTTCATGTTC